CTACATGCCTAAATGCACTGAGTTGCCGCCATGTGATTGGCTGATTAGAAATTAAGTGTTAACGAGCAGTTGGACAGGTGTACCTAATAAAGTGGCCAGTGAGTGTATATATATATATGACTGAAAAATACGACCCAAACAGAAAATAGATATGTACGCAGCACCAGGAGAGACTAGATTACAATTTTTTGCACTCCTAGAGACTTCAAGTACACACCTAAATGTATTTAAGGGCTAAAAAAGTAAATTTAGCATGATATAGCCCCCTTAAAGTAAGGGTGCAGAGCTCAGAGTAGAGCCGCTGCTCCTCTGCATTGAAAAGAATCAGGTGAGGTTGTTTGAGGATCTGATTCGGATGCTTCCTGATGGAGAAGGCACACCCCACTTTTATATATCCATGTATAAATGGTTTTATTTTATTGTTTTCAGGAAACTCTAATGGTCTGAGCAGAACAAAGATAGTAGAGAAACATCCCATTTGTCGACCCCCGGTCAGGCCTCCTGAACCCCCCAACAGGTCCCCAACTCCGCAGAAGCTCCCTGTTGAAGCCGGCAGTGAGGCCACGCCCACATCTTAGTAAGTGCTTCTACTAAATTCTCTGGCTTCATGATGTTTGGTCTGAGAATGCTTAGAGAAACATGTTAGTACGAAAACCAATAAATTCCTCAGTTAAGACAATTTTGGAGTTCTTACTTTTAACAGAATCCAATCATGGTTTGTTCGTTTTGGCCAAGTTATTCTAAGATAACAATTTTAAAAGACTTAATATGATGTCAGCAATAATTAAACCTGCCTGAAATCTACATTTTTTAGAAGTGGAATAATAAAACTTGTCATGTTTCTTTACTGGAGGTTTGTCGTTTTCTGTTTTTCCCCTACCTCATCGTGTAAAACCAACATGCCACTATCATTTATTTATGCCTTTATTTGCAGCGTTGCATCAAAGGCCAAGTTTTTTGAGAATGCCTCCAAACAAGTTGGCAGGTGAGAACTTTTCAACAACTTTGCTCTGTTTGATGTTTTCTCACCACCCTTTCTAATCAGACGCATGTGTGTTTTTAATAATGGTATCATAAATATCAGTTGAACACCATGAGAGTGTGAAAATGATTTCAGAGTTTATTACATGCATCAGCAGTTCTTATTATTTAAATCACCTAACTATGTGAAAAAATGCAAACTGCTGTGAGTGGAGACAGTTTTGCGTGCGTATGGCTATTTATTAGGACATTAAATCCACCTTTACTCAAGTTGTTTAGATCTTTAGACTCCCATGTGATAAAACTGCAGCGTGTGTGTTGCTTTTATGTCCCGGTGGGCCTTTAACCTGATTGCACACCAACCTCTGGGGATGTTCTGTGACCGTAGAGACCAGGATGAGTTCTCCAGGTTCATTTCACTAAATGCAAGATAAAATTAGGTTTATCTCAAGATGAGCGGTATTTTGAGAAGATTGACGTGAGCTTGTCAAATGTTGCATCACTCCCCCACATCCTGACTGTGTTGTCTTATGTATACTGTATGCTCTCTTACTCTTGGCCTCTTTGGAGTTTTTCCTCGTGATGCTGTGGAGCGTCTGTCACGAGGAAACCGTCACATCTGCTCTTTTACGATTTGCATGGCTGAGCCTGGTTCAGACCCCCGCTGTCAGCCTGATGCAGGCGTCAATGAAAGGCTGCAGATAAACAGCTTGACTTTTATTGAAATGAGCTTGTTGTTTTTGTTGTTAACATTGTTTTTTTTTGCCCCTCTTAATTTTAGTGCATCACCCTCACCGCAATCATCAGTATTGACAAATGTGAAAAAAGAGGTGAGATTTTTGGTAGAATTTCCAAGAAATTTGATTCGACGCTGCTTGGTGCACTTCCACCATAGACTGCATGTAAACCTGACGCTCAGAACGCGTTTGGTGTGAACGCAGCATTCTTGCTTCATCCTTTTTCACAGAATGATTTGAAACAATAAACAGAAAACAGATTTATTTAATGTCATTACTAAAACATTCCTTGCTTTTTGTTTCCATAGAACTGAATGTAAAGAAAATGTCAGCAGATGACATCATGTGACCTGAACACGCATTGCTGTTGGCCGAACATGAAGCTGGAAGGAGTCGGCGCTGATGAACTCAGACGTGACCAGAGGAAAAAGTTCTCAGCAGAACTGAACGGATTTGTTTGGTTCTGGTCGAATAGAAGAACTGTGTCGCAGAGCGCCACAGACGCACAACAATGAATGATTTTAAAACAGATTCTGTTTGTTTTACAAACCTGTTGAGTTACAGTACTTTACTACATTTTATAATGGTTTGAAATCATTTTAATTAGTTTTGGCCAATTTAATTTGAGTAAACTAACTGCTGTACTCGTTCTAACGTGTACCTGTTGTGACTGGCCCAAAGAAAACTAACTGATTCACTGACTTCTTTCAGTTCAAATGTTTGCAAATATAAGCTATTACTTTAGAAATCAATTTCTTAAATTTTAAAGAATTATAGTTACAACTAAAAGCATAAAAGCTATTGTCTCAATTTACCTCCAGTATGGTATGGTTTTCAACAACAAAACTAACTGCACTAAAAAAAGGCACTAAGATAATTATTTTTGTTTTATAAATCAAAGCATCGTTGAAGGAATGCATATTGCTCACTGCCTTGGACGCCAAAATCTTCAACAAAGATGTCTCAAAGTCTGACAGAGCTCAGAGCAAGTGATGCGGATGACTCTCAGATACTACAGCACCAACCATTATCTGTAAAACAGACTGAATTATAGTCATTTCTGTGTTTTCTAAGATTGTTTAGTTGTGGCAACATGCTTGGGTTGACTAAGAAGTTAATCAGATGAAAATATGATATTTTGCTAACAGGCAAACACACACACAGGTCACTGACCCTTTTACTGTGATGTGTAAAATCAGACACCAACTGTTTTTTATTGACTTTTACATTCAATCCTACTTTTAAATGAGCTGCATCTGAGTATCCTATGATTCATTGCACCATAAGCAAACTAAACAGAAAAATGAAGATTGTGTAGTTTAGAAATTAAGATCAAAGTATTTTGAAATTTGTTTAAAAGCTTTGCTGGTGAAAATTTTGTTGCAATGAGATGTTAAATTTGATGCAATTACAAGCACTGCTACTGGAGCTAAATTCTTAATGTGTTTTTTTATTTATTTACACGAAGCATTTTTTAATTATTACCTGATGCATCTCAATAATCCAGGTAGAGTAGGTCTCTGTAAGGGTACTTGCTGAAAATGTTTCTCCAACTCCTGAAGAAGTCTCTTAAAGAAGAGATTAAATGTTTTCAACAAAGAAGACACTGTCCAGAGGACCTACTCAATTATTATTATTATTTTTAATTATACAACAAATTTTGTGATGCATACCTTCAGTGAAAAGATACATAAATACATCTTCCATTGCATTTTAAGTCTGAAGCCACGTGCTACAAAATGTAACACCATGGTAATGGGGTGGTCACACAATCGTACGTCATTTGAAGACCAGACCATCTCATTTCACAGCAGTTTTATGCAGCCTACCTCTGTGGCCGCAGTCTACGTGGGCTGCAGCCCCTGAAATGAGACAAAGTCTTTTTGTGCATTAGTAACTAAACCTGTCAGTGACAACCTTTCATTGCAGTGGGCGATAACTTAATATTGATTTGCTGTTAAAAATATTTGTTATACAGTAAATTGTAACTCACTAGTTGCTTCTCCTTGTTTACTTTTTAACAAAATGCAGAAGATTTTCAGCTTGAATTCCAGTTTTTGTTGCTGGAACTTGCATAAAAATGTAACTTCTTACTTGATGGGGGTATGTCAGCTTGTAGAAGCAAGTCGTTGTCACAGTTTGTGTCGATCTGTTGCAGCTTAAAAAGGAATGATTGTGATCACAGAAGCAGCTTAATGTTTGTTACAGTTTGTGAAAATAACACTCCAGTGTTTTGGTTTTACTTTTTTGTTCTTAATGTTATGTTTTTGTTTCTTTCTTTCACTCAACTTGTAAATTGCCATTTTTTGTTGCCTTTTTTTAAAGAAAGGGAAATAAAAATGAAAAGAAATATTACAACTTAGTGTTTTTTGTTTTTACGCAAGTCACAAAACAGCTTAAGTTCATAATGTGGAGCTGAATCCACCCATTTCATATACTCTCATCCTATGAAGCACTTTAATTTTTTTTGTAGGTTTAATGACATTTTTCTTCTGGAATTAAATACACACAAACGTGACGTTGTAGTGTGTGTATCTTTAACAAGTCTTATATTTAGACAAATAAAAAAATAAAGCCTGGACATTACACAAGATGCTATTTGGCATAAAAAAATAAGTAAATGCTGAAAATCACTACAAATTCACTATCCTCACTGGCAGAATCATGCTATGGGGATGCTTCTCAGCAGCTGGCCCTGGAAAACCCATAAAGATGGAGCCCAGAGGACAATCTGATGCTGTTTGCTAAAGAATTGCATCTTGTGAGGTTTATTTTCCAGCAAAAGTTGCACAGAAATAGTTCAAAAGACAAGCTGAATGTTCTGGAGTGTCCGAGTCAAAGCCCAGACTTGAATCCAACGGAGAATTTGCGGCTTGACTTGAAACAGTCTGTTTATGCTTGATCCGCACACAACCTGACAGGAACAAAAATCCAGATGTCCACGACTGATTAAGACTTATCCACACAGATGAGTCTCAATCAGTGCTGTGACTGCAGCCAAAAGTGCTTTTACTGCTGCAGTCACTTATTTTATATAACATATTTTTATTTACTTGATATTACTGTCACGAAATTGGATTTCACTTTAACACCGAATAATTTTTTTGTCAAAAATATCAATTTATAATGACCATGATTGATTTATGACAGCAATAAAAGCTTAAAACATCCAGAGGGAGAATCCTCCTTATAGGAACTGTATGTTTATGTAATTTAATCTTGGAAAATTAGGTCTTAGTCATAAGCTGGTTGGAAACCATGACAGGAACAAACACATCCTTATTTTTATCTTCCGGTGATGTGGGTTTTGATAATTTTCATGATGCAATCCATATTTGAACCATAAAACAAAGCTCTGATCCTCAAACTGCTCTTAAAACCAAGTCCACTATCATGGTTCATGGTCAGAACCTAGAAGTACTGTGGGCTTCTGGTTTTCATATCTCTCTGAAATTCCAAAAACCATGAAAGGACAAATGAATGACTCATGTGTTGTGCTAATTTGTTTCATCAGAGAGCTGTGACGGTGGCTTTGGAGAGCTTTAATAAATTACTGTGGTGTCTGCCACAGCATGATAGCATCAACGTGTTAACATTCTCGTCATTATGTTGATCATTTCCAAAATTTATATGTGTCTCATGTTTCATGGCTTCTGGTGGCGCCACAGCGAAACAAGTCACATTCATTCTGAAGTTTTATCGTTTGGAAACAAATTTAATGAGGGTCTATGAAAAGATTGGTGAAACCCAATATCTAATACCCCGTCTCTAGAGCTGAACTGTTGGAAGCTCTTCAATCCTGCTGAGGTTCTCATTGATGACACCTGATGCCTGACTGTTAGCAATCATATCTGAGTTTCAACTAGCCTCTAACTCAGATATGATCATCCTACATGAAGTTCAACAAGAGCATTCCCCAGTAGGTACCATTTTATATTTTCTATGTTCCAAGGTACAATGCCCACACTGTAATTCAGTAATTTTTGATTTGTATTAAAAGACATTTAAAGGGGCAACTGAGCATCTTTCATGATTTTTTATTAGCCCCAGGAGAATATAGATAATGGGGAACATAGATACCAGAGAATATAAATATGAGGTAACAAAGGTATGTGGGAAAATAGGTATGAGACAATATAGGTACCAGGGAGCATAGGTACTGCAAAACGGGTACAAGGGAATGGGACAACATAAGATATGATAAACCTTAACTGTCATTGTGCAGAGCACAATGAAATTACAGTTTAGAACACCCATTCACAAGAAGACAGAACATAAACAAACAGGAGAACAGGTGTCCTGGGTCAGGCAGCCATAGACCCCTGCACAGAGCAAGGATCATCATCATGAAAGATGGTACCAGACAACATTAGTACGGAGAAACATTGGTACATGGGGTCATAGGGACCTGGGGAACATAAGTAAGGGGAAACGGTTACATGGGGACATAGGTGCCGCAGAGCATGGGTACAAGGGATATAGGTATGGGACAGGTACTGGACAACATAAGTACAGAGAAACATACGTACATGGGAATTTAGGTATGGGACAACATAAGTACGGAAAAACATTGGTATATTGGGACATAGGTACCAGGGAACATAGTACTGAGGAACATGGGTACAAGAGAATAAAGATATGAGACTACATAGGTACCAGACAACATAAGTAAGAGGAAACATAGGTACATGAGGACATAGGTACCAGGGAACATAAGTACAGGACAACATAGGTATCGGGAAGCAGAGGAACCAGGGGAACTTAGGTACAGGGAAACACAGGGATGAGCCCAGTTTAACCCATCAGGAGAAACAGAAATTAATTCTAGATGTTCAAAAAATCTGTGGTTATCTGCACAAGAAATGTGTTTCCAGTTGGACATTGTATTTGTTTTTGTCATCCAATCCTCTTTCACATTCCAACATTCTTCTGCCAAAACAAAAAAAAAAAAAACGAAGCCCCCCACCCCATCCCCGTCACCTTGGCCCCTTTCACCCCACCAGCTTGCACTGAACTGGGTGAACGATTGGCCCATGATGAGAATGAGTTCAAGTTTCCATGTCAATTTATTCAATGATGCTCTGTGTGTGGTCTTCAGCTTCTGTATATTCATGACAAGTGTCTTTGTTCTCAAGACCAAAGAAAATAGATTCTCAATGAAACATCTTAGAGTGAAGAGTGACAAGTCAAAGATTATTCTGCGTATTACATCCAAATAAACAATTTCCAAAGTTAGTGAAGAGGTATTGTGACACAATAATGTCTTTTTGTCTCTTATGTGCCATCTTGCTCTCTTTTTAAATGGGCAACGCAAAATAGATTTCCAAACAAATGGAACTGAACTTATAGAGCACTTTATCAAGTCCCTCCAGACCCCAAAGTGCTTTATACTTACAGACATTCACCCATGCACACACATTCACACAATGATGATGGCAAACTACAGTGTAGCCACAGCTGCCCTGGGACACACTGACAGAGGTGGGGCTGTCATGCACAAGCGCCACCGGACCCTCTGACCACAAGGCAAGGCGGGTGAAGTGTCTTGCCCAAGGACACAACGACTGAAACGGCTGAAAGGGGGATCAAACCGGCGACTTTCCGGTTCCAAGACAACTCCCCTAACCAACCAACCAATCAATCAATCAATCAATCAATCAATCAATCAATCAATCAATCAACCAACCAACCAACCTAACAACCAACCAATCAATCAATCAATCAATCAATCAATCAATCAATCAATCAATCAATCAATCAATCAATCAATCAATCAATCAATCAATCAATCAAACAAACACATAAATAAATAAATAAAGCTAGACACTCAGACTGGTAGAAACTAAGTTAAACTATGTGTTGAAAAGATTTGGTGGTACAAAGATTACAAAATCATACTGATCTGATAGCAGAGTGGGTAGTACAAACAGGCTGTTTGCTTCGTATCTGTAGGTTGTGTCACCCCATTGATGTGGATACCATCAATCATTCGGTGCAGAACAGTCATCCACTGCTTTTCGAATCCAGCCAATCACCACCGTGTCAGAGATGACGTCTGAGCTAATCTGACATCCGGAGCCTCAAGAAGGTATTTATACCACCCCGCACTTTACAACTGTAAGCTGAAGTGCTGAAGTAGGCTGTTTTGCTTTGTGGTGTTTTGGATTGTTTTATTTTATTTGTTTAAATGTGTTTTTATGTTTTGTTGGACCTCAGAAGAGTAGTCACTACTGTGGTAGAGACTACTGGGGATCGTTTTAAACAAATAAAACAAGCATAAACTAAAATCCAACACAACTAGTTGTTCAAGGGTCATCTAACATGTCCACCTGTGCAATTTAAACCCAGATGTTTGTTGAAAGCTTCAAAGATTGCACACAGGACAATAATGGTCAAGTAGTATCATGAAGACCAAGGAACATTACTATGTACAGTAATGAAAAATCCAGACTCATGCCTGGACTGGTCTGGTTAGTAGCACCTGTTACAGTAGATCACATGGTCACAAGACCAAGACTCCAGCTCTTCTGTAGAACTCCATGGATGCAGCTCAGAAGTAGAAGGGTTGAAAGTCAGACTTTGTGATTATCCTTGGATTGTCTTGGGCAACTGGTAACATTGTATTTGTTTTATTTATTTATTTTTTGTGGGTGAATTATTTACAAACCATAACTAATTTACATGTGGTCCAAACTTACGTTCAGACTGGACCATTAGTTATTTTAATATGGGAATGCATGTATTAAAAACTCAGAACAAGCATCTTCAGAGTCTGAAATGTTTTATTTGACTTTCAAACCGTGACGCAACTTTACATCTTTGAAAAAACACGTTGCAAAACACAGGTCACAAAAGATATAAATCATACAAGAGATTACTTTAAAAAGTCAAGTGTTTGAACACCAAAAAACAGACAGTGAAGTGATCAATATATACATTTACTGTAGCCATGTACAAAGAGCCTTGTCAGAATGCAGTACAGTGGGCACTCCATATTTTTTAATTATGCAAACATGGTAGCTGACTGAATTGT